CCTACGTCACACAGACACACTGCTCCCTACGTCACACAGACACTGCTCCCTACGTCACACAGACACACTGCTCCCTACGTCCCACAGACACTGCTCCCTACGTCACACAGACACACTGCTCCCTACGTCACACAGACACTGCTCCCTACGTCACACAGACACTGCTCCCTACGTCACACAGACACTGCTCCCTACGTCACACAGACACACTGCTCCCTACGTCACACAGACACTGCTCCCTACGTCACACAGACACACTGCTCCCTACGTCACACAGACACTGCTCCCTACGTCACACAGACACTGCTCCCTACGTCACACAGACACTGCTCCCTACGTCACACAGACACTGCTCCCTACGTCACACAGACACACTGCTCCCTACGTCACACAGACACTGCTCCCTACGTCACACAGACACACTGCTCCCTACGTCACACAGACACACTGCTCCCTACGTCACACAGACACTGCTCCCTACGTCACACAGACGCACTGCTCCCTACGTCCCACAGACACACTGCCTCCCTACGTCACACAGACACTGCTCCCTACGTCCCAGACACACTGCTCCCTACGTCACACAGACACTGCCCCCTACGTCACAGACACTGCTCCCTACGTCACACAGACACTGCTCCCTACGTCCCACAGACACTGCTCCCTACGTCACACAGACACTGCTCCCACGTCACACAGACACTGCTCCCTACGTCACACAGACACACTGCTCCCTACGTCACACAGACACTGCTCCCTACGTCACACAGACACTGCTCCCTACGTCACACAGACACTGCTCCCTACGTCACACAGACACTGCTCCCTACGTCCCACAGACACTGCTCCCTACGTCACACAGACACTGCTCCCTACGTCACACAGACACTGCTCCCTACGTCACACAGACACTGCTCCCTACGTCACACAGACACTGCTCCCTACGTCACACAGACACACTGCTCCCTACGTCCCAGACACACTGCTCTACGTCCCACAGACGCACTGCTCCCTACGTCACACAGATGCATGTCGAGGGACCACTTCCATTCACCCTCATGGACAAAACGGAAACAGAGATGAAACGGCCGGTGGAGTTGGGGCCTAACTCTACATTCTGTTATGGACCCTGTACTGTGGTCCCTGGAGAGAGACCAGAGAGAGAAACCAGAGAGAAAGCATAGAGAGAGCAGCAAGAGACCAGAGAGAAAGCATAGAGAGAGCAGCAAGAGACCAGAGAGAAAGCATAGAGAGAGCAGCAAGAGACCAGAGAAAGAGACCAGAGAGAGACTAGAGAGAGACCATAAAGAGAACAGAGGGAGACCAGAGGGAGAGAGACCAGACAGAGACCAGAGGGAGACCAGAGGGAGAGACCAGAGAGAGACCATAGAGCAGGGGTGCTCAAACTTTTCACACCAAGTACCCCCTCAGAAAATACTGGCCTCTCCAAGTACCACCACAAATGACCAACACTACACAGTAGCGTAGTAAGCCTAAGTATTCATCAAAAACAAGGCAAAAGTTGCATTCTTAAAGAAGCTTTTGTATTTGCTGCTCCCTTTACATGGAATGTGTTGCAAAAAGACTGGAAATTATCTGATCGTATTTCATTGAATGCTTTTAGATCCAGATTGAGAGACTGAGACATCTTCAGTGAAATGTAGAGGACTCCCTTGAAAAAGAGGTTCTCATTGACATTTTTGATGACTTCACTGATTTTCAAGACTCACAGAATATTGTGTGCTATGACTATGAATAATATGAAACCAGAATCTGAAAGACAGGACTGTCTACTTTCAGCAGCAAAAAGAAGTTTGTTCTTAGCTTGTTTCGTTCTCCTGTGATCTCCAGTCGAAAAGAGGAGTGTGACAAAAAGCACCAGTCTTAGACAAAAAAGCTGCGAATATGAGGTGTTTGTGAAAACAGACGAACCTGCAGAAAAAGGACTGTAAAACTATTTAGTTTAGCTTTAGCATCTCCTCAAACATGTCCAGGATCTTACATGTTAGAAAACAGCAACAACAAGTTCTGTAAAAGTGTTTTTGATGCAAAATAATACGTTTTATGGCACACTCACATCCACAAAGTGTTGCTCGAATATTTCAAAATGTACTCATCCAAAAAAACGTCAAGATGTACATATTGAAAGTAAAGCCCATGACAAACTTTGGTAGAAAGAATGGCCAGTATTCATCCATTAGGTGGCGCTATATTTATCAATAAGAGTAAATCAGAGATAAGATATTACAATGATAAACACTATAAATGACTATAAATCAAAGTGAACAGACAATATACTTATACTATAAGTGCAATAGAATACATGGTCTGCTGCCCTGACCATCCACATGGTCTGCTGCCCTGACCATCCACATGGTCTGCTGCTCTGACCCTCCACACCCTCCATGGTCTGCTGCTCATCCACATCAGGCATGTCAAAGTCAAATACATCAGAGGGCCAAAAAAAATGTTTTGCTACGCGCCGAGGGCCGGACTGGTTCAATGTTTCTCAACATCCAGAGGCAGTGCCGGTGACACCTGTTGGCTCGATAAAATATGCTCTAAAGCCAATCCTCATACTGTACATATTAGATGTAATAGACATCTGAGAACATGAAAATCGTAAAAAAAAAAAAGCTCAAACTTGGTGAAATGTAAAAGAGCTGTCTGGACCTCTTTTCGGGGCGTTTTTTGATTAAAGCTGCACTAACTGACTTTATTTTCGTATTCATTACGAAAATGCTATCCATGTCCATGTAGTGCATTGGGATATACGTCCTTTTGAAGAATAATTAGCGCAGATTTGTGCTGGCGTGACATTATATTTTAGATCGAGTTTTGATGAAACAAGGAAGAGAATGTGTTTCGGGTCGCAGATTGTGACCAATCACAGCGGACCAATAGCCCCCACTTTCGTGAGAAATCTACAGGTCTCTGTTAGCACAGACAGCTGAGTTAGCACAACAAGCCGAGGAGCTAACCTGAAGCTTTGTGTGTCTTCATCACCGGTTACTGCTTACTTAGCGAAACAGCCATCCAAAAGAAAGTCCCGTTCCTCCTCGCTTCCCGGTTCTATCGTTTTATGGTCACGCCATCCACGTGCAAATCCATATCCATGTATTATCCATATTGGAAGACACTAACTCCGTCCCAACAGTGGGTGTGTGTGGGGGGCGATAGCTTCGTGGGTGCGGGGAGGGGAGCAGAAAGAGAGAGGCCAGCGAGTCCGCGGCTTCAAAATCCCAAAGTCAGTTAGTGCAGCTTTAAATCTGCAGAATGGATTATACTTTGGGAAATACAAGTGGATATCTTCTTCAATGAACAGTTACGGAGAGAAAGAGACTAAGCAAGGATGGGGAACGTCTAATTTGTTGGAGCAGCAGAAGACGAAAGGTAAAAAACGAATACAGACGTGATTTATTTTGTGCCCATATTTTGCGTTATAACTTTTTAATGCAAAGTCTGATATCATTTACACTTACATATAAATATAGCTGAGAAAATAAGCTTTAAAATGATATATAGCTTGTGGCTTATGAAGTTCAAAATACATCTGCTATTGCCAGCAGGTGTATTTTTTTCCTCGTTTGCTCCCGCCGGCGGGGGCTAGCGAGCTTAAGGGGTCAATACATTGCCTCAATGGCAGGCAATGTCCCGGGGGCCATAGATAATTCATTCGCGGGCCGGATTTGGCCCGCGGGCCTTGACTTTGACACATGTGCTCCACATGGTCTGCTGCCCTGACCCTCCACATGGTCTGCTGCTCTGACCCTCCACATGGTCTGCTGCCCTGACCCTCCACATGGTCTGCTGCCCTGACCCTCCACATGGTCTGCTGCTCTGACCCTCCACATGGTCTGCTGCCCTGACCCTCCACATGGTCTGCTGCCCTGACCCTCCACATGGTCTGCTGCTCTGACCCTCCACATGGTCTGCTGCTCTGACCCTCCACATGGTCTGCTGCTCTGACCCTCCACATGGTCTGCTGCCCTGACCCTCCACATGGTCTGCTGCCCTGACCCTCCACATGGTCTGCTGCTCTGACCCTCCACATGGTCTGCTGCTCTGACCCTCCACATGGTCTGCTGCTCTGACCCTTCACATGGTCTGCTGCTCTGACCCTCCACATGGTCTTCTGCCCTGACCCTCCACATGGTCTGCTGCTCTGACCCTCCACATGGTCTGTCTGCTGCTCTGACCCTTCACATGGTCTGCTGCTCTGACCCTTCACATGGTCTGCTGCTCTGACCCTCCACATGGTCTACTGCTCTGACCCTCCACATGGTCTACTGCTCTGACCCTCCACATGGTCTGCTGCTCTGACCCTTCACATGGTCTGCTGCTCTGACCCTCCACATGGTCTGCTGCTCTGACCCTCCACATGGTCTCTGTCAGTTCTGGAGACACATTTACTGGTCAAACTGCCTCCAAATGTAGCTTGACCCTGACTATATTACTCCATGTCTGCTTCACCTCTGTCTCTCCTGCTCAGAGTGCTCAGAGTGATCTTTGACCAAACCAGGGAGCTCTGCTGCCACCTGCTGGCTTAATAAAATACTGTCTACAGCCAAACCCCAGACTGTATGATACAGGGGACACAGACTGACAGGAAAAGATTGAAAAACACGTTGACGTTAATTTACGTTGTATGACGTCAATGACGTCAATGAGCTAATCTCAATGGTACTTTCCTGGTTAAATAAAAATATTAAAAAAAAGATTTAAAAATAAGAATAATAATAATTTTAGTGATTCTTTGGCATACCCCTAGAGGGAGCCACTGCCATAGAGAGACCATAGAGAGTAACCAGAGAGAGACCAAAGATATCACAACTGTTAGTTGTAGGTCTAAACGCTGCTGCAGATGTCAAAAGTCGTGCAAATTGATTCTATTTAGTATTTTTCAGTTGAGCAAAGTATTGCTTCAGTTTTGTGTTTTCTCTGTGTCCTGAATGTTGAAGGATAAGGTTTCTTCCCTCCTCAGTGTTTCAGTGCTTTACCTGCAGGACACATGGGACAACACTCGCCCTTGTACAGATACTCAGCACGATGACAGGATGGGACAGGATGACACATGGGAGACAGGAGGACGATCTGCAACAGCAGAGACCAGAGAGAGTCAGGGAGTGGGAGGAGCCGAGGAGTGGGAGGAGCCGATGAGTGGGAGGAGCCGGGGAGTGGGAGGAGCCGGGGAGTGGGAGGAGCCGGGGAGTGGGAGGAGCCGAGGAGTGGGAGGAGTCGAGGAGTGGGAGGAGTCAGGGAGTGGGAGGAGCCAGGGAGTGGGAGGAGCCGAGGAGTGGGAGGAGCCGATGAGTGGGAGGAGCCGGGGAGTGGGAGGAGCCGAGGAGTGGGAGGAGTCAGGGAGTGGGAGGAGCCGGGGAGTGGGAGGAGCCGGGGAGTGGGAGGAGTCAGGGAGTGGGAGGAGCCGGGGAGTGGGAGGAGCCGAGGAGTGGGAGGAGCCGAGGAGTGGGAGGAGCCGAGGAGTGGGAGGAGTCGGGGAGTGGGAGGAGCCGGGGAGTGGGAGGAGCCGGGGAGTGGGAGGAGTCAGGGAGTGGGAGGAGCCGGGGAGTGGGAGGAGCCGAGGAGTGGGAGGAGCCGGGGAGTGGGAGGAGCCGAGGAGTGGGAGGAGCCGGGGAGTGGGAGGAGCCGATGAGTGGGAGGAGCCGGGGAGTGGGAGGAGCCGGGGAGTGGGAGGAGCCGAGGAGTGGGAGGAGCCGGGGAGTGGGAGGAGCCGGGGAGTGGGAGGAGCCGAGGAGTGGGAGGAGCCGGGGAGTGGGAGGAGCCAGAGTCCGGTCTGTCACTACAACCAGACAGTTCTGACCATAAGAAATAAATCAGGATTGATTTCGCAGCGATGGAAACTCATGGCGTGTCCGAGGGTCGTACTCTGCAGCGAGACACAGAGGCCGAGGCAGAACTAGACACGTGGGTTTGTTACAGAGGTATGTTGTGGTCTGAAAGTTACGTCCCCCAGCTTTAAAACAGTTGAAACATTTGAGTGTCAGAACAGACAGAGGAAGATTCAAATCTACATCTTACCAAGAAAACAAAGACTCGCTCATGTCTGTTCATGTTGTGACGATGTGCTCATGATGGAAACATCTGAAACACAACATTTAGGATTACAACAACTTTATCTCTCTCTCTGGTCTCTCTCTCTCTCTCTGGTCTCTCTCTCTGGTCTCTCTCTGGTCTCTCTCTCTCTCTCTCTCTCTGGTCTCTCTCTCTGGTCTCTCTCTGGTCTCTCTCTGGTCTCTCTCTCTCTCTGGTCTCTCTCTCTGGTCTCTCTCTCTGGTCTCTCTCTCTGGTCTCTCTCTTCTGGTCTCTCTCTGGTCTCTCTCTCTCTGGTCTCTCTCTCTCTGGTCTCTCTCTGGTCTCTCTCTGGTCTCTCTCTGGTCTCTCTCTCTCTGGTCTCTCTCCGGTCTCTCTCCCTGGTTTCTCTACCTGGTCTCTCCCTCTCTCTGGTCTCTCTCTCTGGTCTCTCTCTCTCTCTGGTCTCTCTCTCTGGTCTCTCTCCCTGGTCTCTCTCCCTGGTCTCTCTGGTCTCTCTCTGGTCTCTCTCTGGTCTCTCTCTCTGGTCTCTCTCTGGTCTCTCTCTCTCTCTGGTCTCTCTCTGGTCTCTCTCTCTGGTCTCTCTCTGGTCTCTCTGGTCTCTCTCTGGTCTCTCTCTGGTCTCTCTCTGGTCTCTCTCTCTGGTCTCTCTGGTCTCTCTCTGGTCTCTCTCTCTGGTCTCTCTCTCTGGTCTCTCTCTCTGGTCTCTCTCTGGTTCCAGGTCTCTGGTTGGATGCGGTCACTGACCCCGGACCAGCGAGGCATGTGTGCGTTGCTGGTGCGTGTTGTGCGTCACACGCTGCAGCGGCTGCATCAGCTCCACACTGCTCTGTTCTACATGAGAGGAGCCTTCTACCACCTCAGCAGGAGAGCAGCCGCACTCTCATATGTACGCACAATACGCACACACACACACATGTACGCACAACACACACATGTACGCACAACACGCACACACACACACATGTACGCACAACACACACACACACACACATGTACGCACAACACACACACACACACACATGTACGCACAACACACACACACACACACATGTACGCACAACACGCACAACACACACATGTACGCACAACACACACACACACACATGTACGCACAACACACACACACACACACATGTACGCACAACACACACACACACACACGTACGCACAACACACACACGTACGCACATGTACGCACAACACACACACACATGTACGCACAGCACACACACGTACGCACAACACACACACACGTACGCACAACACACACACACGTACGCACAACACACACACATGTACGCACAACACACACATACGTACGCACAACACAAACACGTACGCACAACACATGTACGCAAAACACACACACATGTACGCACAACACACACACATGTACGCACAACACACACACACGTACGCACAACACACACACACACGTACGCACAACACACACACATGTACGCACAACTCACACACATGTACGCACAACACACACATACGGACGCACAACACACACACACACGTACGCACAACACATACAGAGACACACACATACACACACACACGGAGACACAAACAGACATAGACAAACACACACAGAGACACACACAGACATAGACACACACAGACAGAGACACACACACACACAGACATAGACACACACACACAGAGACACACACAGACATAGACACACACACACACAGACACACACAGACATAGACACACACAGCCACACAGACAGACACACACGTGAGCAGTGGTCTGACAGTCACGTCCCCAGCTTTAGGTGATGTCACATGATAAACCATGAATAGTGATTAATACTCGGACCATGTGTCTCTGCACCAGCTGCGTCTGAGGCCCTCAGATGGTGACACCAGCGTCAAGACCAGCTACGGCCTGTTGGGGGCGCTCTCTCTGCTGCAGCTGCTGATCACTGCTCTACTGCAACACAACATCCTCAGGCAGAGAGAGAGACCCTACAGAGAGCAGCGAGAGAGACCAGAGGGAGAGAGACACCAGAGGAGCAGCATGACCAGGTACACCAGCAGAGACCAGAGAGAGAGACCAGAGAGAGAGACCAGAGAGAGAGACCAGAGAGAGAGACCAGAGAGAGAGACCAGAGGGCGAGACCAGAGGGAGAGACCAGAGAGAGAGACCAGAGAGAGAGACCAGAGAGAGAGACCAGAGAGAGAGACCAGAGAGAGACCAGAGAGAGAGACCAGAGAGAGAGACCAGAGAGAGAGACCAGAGGGAGAGACCAGAGGGAGAGACCAGAGGGAGAGACCAGAGGGAGAGACCAGAGGGCGAGACCAGAGGGCGAGACCAGAGGGCGAGACCAGAGGGCGAGACCAGACTAAATGTTATTCTGTGTTGTCTGTTTCAGGCCGAGTGTCCTTTGTGCAGAGAGAAGTTCAGTCCACACAGACTGGTCTATCTGCGCAACTACAGCTGAGCCAGGAAGAAGCTGGAACAGTGCAGACCAGAGGAGGAACGGGGAAGAAGCTGGAGCACTGCAGAGACCAGGGGAGGAATGGGGAAGACGCTGGAACACTGCAGAGACAAGGGGAGGAACGGGGAAGAAGCTGGAACACTGCAGACCAGAGGAGGAACGGGGAAGAAGCTTGGACATTGCAGACCAGAGGAGGAACGGGGAAGAAGCTGGGACATTGCAGACCAGAAGAGGAACGGGGAAGAAGCTAGAACACTGCAGAACAGAGGAGGAACGGGGAAGAAGCTAGAACACTGCAGAACAGAGGAGGAATGGGGAAGAAGCTGGGACATTGCAGACCAGAGGAGGAACGGGGAAGAAGCTTGGACATTGCAGACCAGAGGAGGAACGGGGAAGAAGCTGGGACATTGCAGACCAGAAGAGGAACGGGGAAGAAGCTAGAACACTGCAGAACAGAGGAGGAACGGGGAAGAAGCTAGAACACTGCAGAACAGAGGAGGAATGGGGAAGAAGCTGGGACATTGCAGACCAGAAGAGGAACGGGGAAGAAGCTAGAACACTGCAGACCAGAGGAGGAACGGGGAAGAAGCTGGGACATTGCAGAGACAAGGGGAGGAACGGGGAAGAAGCTAGAACACTGCAGAGACAAGGGGAGGAACGGGGAAGAAGCTGGAACACTGCAGACCAGAGGAGGAACGGGGAAGAAGCTGGGACATTGCAGACCAGAAGAGGAACAGGGAAGAAGCTAGAACACTGCAGAACAGAGGAGGAACGGGGAAGAAGCTAGAACACTGCAGAACAGAGGAGGAACGGGGAAGAAGCTAGAGCACTGCAGACCAGAGGAGGAACGGGGAAGAAGCTAGAGCACAGCAGACCAGAGGAGGAATGGGGAAGAAGCTAGAGCACAGCAGACCAGAGGAGGAATGGGGAAGAAGCTAGAGCACTGCAGAGACCAGAGGAGGAATGGGGAAGAACCTGGAACACTGTGAAAAGCTGCAAACTGAAAAGTCTGTAACGTTCAGATTTGTTTTCAAACTGAAAGTGATTTAAATATTGATTTTTTTAGAATTAATAATAAATAAAAACTATTATCATTAAAAGTTTAAAACATGTTTTTGGAATTTAATTTTCAATAAAAAAAATGAGTCTGATCTTTGCCGTCTTTAATGTCTCCGACTATTTATCTCTGGTCTCTCTCTTTGGTCTCTCTTTGATCTCTCTCGTTTGTTTCTCTCTGGTCTCTCTCTCTTTGATCTCTCTCTCTGGTCTCTCTCTCTTTGGCCTCTCTTTGGTCTCTCTTTGGTCCCTCTCTTTGGTCTCTCTATTTGGTCTCTCTGGTCTCTCCCTTTGGTCTCTCTCTTTGGTCTCTCTCGCTTTGGTGTCTCTCTCTTTGGCCTCTCTATTTGGTCTCTCTGGTCTCTCCCTTTGGTCTCTCTCTGGTCTCTCTCTCTTTGGTCTCTCTCCCTTTGGTGTCTCTCTCTTTGGCCTCTCTATTTGGTCTCTCTGGTCTCTCTCTTTGGTCTCTCTCTAGTCTCTCTCTGGTCTCTTTGGTCTCTCTCTCTTTGGCCTCTCCCTCTTGTCTCTCTCTTTGGTCTCTCTCTCTTTGGCCTCTCTACTTGGTCTCTTTGGTTTCTCTCTGGTCTCTCTTTGGTCTCTCTCTTTGGTCTCTCTGGCCTCTCCCTTTGGTCTCTCTCTGGTCTCTCTCTCTTTGGTCTCTCTCTGGTCTCTCTCTTTGGTCTCTCTCTCTGGTCTATCTCTCTTTGGTCCCTCTGTTCTCTCTCTTTGGTCTCTGGTCTCTCTCTCCCTTTGGTCTCTCTCTGGTCTCTCTCTCTTTGGTCCCTCTGTTCTCTCTCTTTGGTCTCTCTGGTCTCTCTCTTTGGTCTCTCTCGTTGGTCTCTCTGGTATCTCTTTTTTATCTCTCTCTGGTCTCTCTCTCTTTGGCCTCTCTATTTGGTCTCTTTGGTCTCTCTCTGGTCTCTCTTTGGTCCCTCTCTTTGGTCTCTCTGGTCTCTCCCTTTGGTCTCTCCCTTTGGTCTCTCTCTGGTCTCTCTCTCTTTGGTCTCTCTCTGGTCTCTATTTGGGCTCTCTCTCTTTGGCCTCTCTCTTTGGTCTCTCTCTTTGGTCTCTCTCTCTGGTCTCTCTCTCTGGTCTCTCCCTTTGGTCTCTCTTTGGTCTCGCTCTAGTCTCTCTCTGGTCTCTTTGGTCTCTCTCTCTTTGGCCTCTCCCTCTTGTCTCTCTCTTTGGTCTCTCTCTCTTTGGCCTCTCTATTTGGTCTCTTTGGTTTCTCTCTGGTCTCTCTTCGGTCTCTCTCTTTGGTCTCTCTGGCCTCTCCCTTTGATCTCTCTCTGGTCTCTCTCTCTTTGGTCTCTCTCTGGTCTCTCTCTCCCTTTGGTCTCTCTCTGGTCTCTCTCTCTTTGGTCCCTCTGTTCTCTCTCTTTGGTCTCTCTGGTCTCTCTCTTTGGTCTCTCTCGTTGGTCTCTCTGGTATCTCTTTTTTATCTCTCCCTGGTCTCTCTCTCTTTGGCCTCTCTATTTGGTCTCTCTTTGGTCCCTCTCTTTAGTCTCTCTGGTCTCTCCCTTTGGTCTCTCTTTGGTCTCTCTCTCTTTGGCCTCTCCCTCTGGTCTCTCTCTTTGGTCTCTGTCTCTTTGGCCTCTCTCTTTGGTCTCTCTCTTTGGTCTCTCTCTCTGGTCTCTCTCTTTGGCCTCTCTCTTTGGTCCCTCTCTGGTCTCTCTCTCTGGTCTCTCTCTCTGGTCTCTCCCTCTGGTCTCCCTCTTTGGTCTCTCTCTCTGGTCTCTCTTTGGTCTCTCTCTGGTCTCTCTTTGGTCTCTCTCTCTTTGGCCTCTCTCTCTGGTCTCTCTCTGTGGTCTCTCTCTCTTTGGTCTCTCTCTTTGGTATCTCTCGTTGGTCTCTCTCTGGTCTCTCTTTTTGGTCTCTCTGGTCTCTCTTTGGTCCCTCTCGTTTGTTTCTCTCTTTGGTCTCGCTGGTCTCTCCCTTTGGTCTCTCTCTGGTCTCTCTCTCTCTTTGGTGTCTCTCTCTCTCTGGTCTCTCTCTCTTTGGCCTCTCTATTTGGTCTCTCTTTGGTCCCTCTCTTTAGTCTCTCTGGTCTCTCCCTTTGGTCTCTCTTTGGTCTCTCTCTCTTTGGCCTCTCCCTCTGGTCTCTCTCTTTGGTCTCTGTCTCTTTGGCCTCTCTCTTTGGTCTCTCTCTTTGGTCTCTCTCTCTGGTCTCTCTCTTTGGCCTCTCTCTTTGGTCTCTCTCTGGTCTCTCTCTCTGGTCTCTCTCTCTGGTCTCTCCCTCTGGTCTCCCTCTTTGGTCTCTCTCTCTGGTCTCTCTTTGGTCTCTCTCTGGTCTCTCTTTGGTCTCTCTCTCTTTGGCCTCTCTCTCTGGTCTCTCTCTGTGGTCTCTCTCTCTTTGGTCTCTCTCTTTGGTATCTCTCTTTGGTATCTCTCTCTGGTCTCTCGTTGGTCTCTCTCTGGTCTCTCTTTTTGGTCTCTCTGGTCTCTCTTTGGTCCCTCTCGTTTGTTTCTCTCTTTGGTCTCGCTGGTCTCTCCCTTTGGTCTCTCTCTGGTCTCTCTCTCTCTTTGGTGTCTCTCTCTCTCTGGTCTCTCTCTTTGGTCTCTGTTGTGGGGTCTTTTTCCAAAAACACAATGGCTCAGTCAAAAAAACACTTTTCACAGTGATTTATTATTTCCCATTATTATCCCAGTGCAATACAGTGCAATATTTACAAGTCTTGAGCGTATGTTTCCTCTCAGGTTCTCAGGTGTTGCCTTCTCTGCAACCAAGCATGACTGAACTCGAGCAGGCCAGCCCGGTCCAACCAAGCATGACTGAACTCGAGCAGGCCAGACCGGTCCTGCTCTTAAAGCACAAGCCCCTCCCCTGGGCGTTTGACAAACACTAAATACATTCACTGACTTTAAAGTCCAGTTACCCCCAAAACAATACTATAGAAATAGTCCCCACTACACAGTAAAGAATAGAATAATCCCCCTTTACAGTCATAAGAAACAAAAACACAAAATAAGGATCACATGACGCTCCTCAGCACTCATAATGTGTGTGTGCGTCTCTGCCTCTGTTTGGCCAACCCACGGGACACACGCGCGCAGTCCCGAGGAGCGCACGCACGTGCGCGCACACGCGAACAGTGAGTAGCACGACGGTGAGACCCAGTGTGCACCCGAGATCTCACCAAACGCACTCACACTCCCCACAGACGGAGAACGAGCCGTGGGTAATATGTAAACGCTGCTGTATTACGTGTGCGCGTAACACGGACGCTCCAGAGAAAAAGAGCGCGCATCACAGTGCGGTGCTCTCAGTACTAGGACAAGCTGTGTGGCCCCGTCACAGTCTCTCTCTCTTTGGTCTCTCTCTCTGGTCTCTCTCTCTCTGGTCTCTCTCTCTGGTCTCTCTCTCTCTCTGGTCTCTCTCTTTGGTCTCTCTCTCTTTGGTCTCTCTCTGGTCTCTCTCTCTGGTCTCTCTCTTTGGTCTCTCTCTCTTTGGTCTCTCTCTTTGGTCTCTCTCTCTGGTCTCTCTCTCTCTTTGGTCTTTCTCTCTTTGGTCCCTCTGTTCTCTCTCTCTCTTTGGTCTCTCTCTGCTCTCTCTCTCTTTGGTCTCTCTCTCTGGTCTCTCTCTTTGGTCTCTCTCTCTTTGGTCTCTCTCTGGTCTCTCTCTGGTCTCTCTCTCTCTTTGGTCTCTCTCTCTGGTCTCTCTCTCTCTTTGGTCTTTCTCTCTTTGGTCCCTCTGTTCTCTCTCTCTCTTTGGTCTCTCTCTGGTCTCTCCCTCTGATCTCTCTTGTCTTTGTATTTTGTCTCTCACTCTGGTCTCTCTCTTTGGTCCCTCTGTTCTCTCTGTCTCTTTGGTCTCCCTCTCTGGTCTCTCTCTCTGGTCTTTCTTGTCTTTGTATTTTGTCTCTAACTCTGGTCTCTAGTCTCTCTGGTCTCTCTCTAGTCTCTCGGGTCTCTCTCTTTAGTCCCTCTGGTCTCTCTCTCTGGTCTCTCTCTCTCTGGTCTCTCTCTCTCTGGTCTCTCTCTCTCTCTGGTCTCTCTCTCTCTCTGGTCTCTCTCTCTCTGGTCTCTCTCTCTCTCTGGTCTCTCTCTCTCTGGTCTCTCTCTCTCTCTGGTCTCTCTGTCTCTGGTCTCTCTCTCTCTGGTCTCTCTCTCTCTCTGGTCTCTCTCTCTCTCTCTGGTCTCTCTCTCTCTGGTCTCTCTCTTGTCTGTGGATGAAACATGGTAAAGTGAGATATTTTATTAATATTATAGATGACAAAAGTAAATGTTTGATGTTGAAATAAAATGTGACTTTTAGAAAAACATTCCACAGTTTGTTTTTGATTAAAGAAACATTTACAGGTTTAAAGTACTGTGTTCTCTCTTTCTACTTCTGTGTTCTCTCTTTCTACTTCTGTGTTCTCTCTTTCTTCTAATGCGTTCAGTCTTTCTACTTCTGTGTTCTCTCTTTCTACTTCTGTGTTCTCTCTTTCTACTTCTGCGTTCAGTCTTTCTACTTCTGTGTTCTCTCTTTCTACTTCTGCGTTCAGTCTTTCTACTTCTGTGTTCTCTCTTTCTACTTCTGCGTTCAGTCTTTCTTCTTCTGTGTTCTCTCTTTCTTCTAATGCGTTCAGTCTTTCTACTTCTGTGTTCTCTCTTTCTACTTCTGTGTTCTCTCTTTCTACTTCTGTGTTCTCTCTTTCTACTTCTGTGTTCTCTCTTTCTTCTAATGCGTTCAGTCTTTCTACTTCTGTGTTCTCTCTTTCTACTTCTGTGTTCTCTCTTTCTACTTCTGCGTTCAGTCTTTCTACTTCTGTGTTCTCTCTTTCTACTTCTGCGTTCAGTCTTTCTTCTTCTGCGTTCAGTCTTTCTAGTTCTGCGTTCAGCATTTCTTTTAATGCGTTCCATCCTTTTCTGTCTGCGTCCCATCTGTCTATGTCTGCGTTCCATCTGTCTACGTTTGCGTTCCATCTTTTTCTGTCTGCGTTCCGTCTTTTTATGTCTGCGTTCCGTCTTTTTATGTCTGCGTTCCGTCTTTCTATGTCTGCGATCCATCTTTTTGCGTCTGCGTCCCATCTGTATATGTCTGCGTTCCATCTGTCTCTGTGTGCGACCCATCTGTCTGTGTCTTTGTCCCATATTTTTCTGTCTGCGTCCCATCTGTCTGTGTCTTTGTCCCATCTTTCTACGTCTGCGATCCATCCGTCTCTGTCTGCGTTCCGTCTTTCTACGTCTGCGATCCATCTTTTTACGTCTGCGTTCAGTCTTTCTTCTTCTGCTTTCAGTCTTTCTTCTTCTGCTTTCAGTCTTTCTTCTTCTGCGTTCCATCTTTCTAGTTCTGCGTACAGTCCCTCTTCTTCTGCGTTCAGTCCCTCTTCTTCTGCGTTCAGTCTTTCTAGTTCTGCGTTCCGTCTTTTCCTGATGTAACAATATAAAATCAAACCCAAACCCAAACCCAGGAGAACAAGACCCAGGAAACCAAAACCAAGACCAAGACCCAGAACCAGGATCTTCTCTCCACACACTGCGTCTGACTCAGAGGTTCCTTCTGCGACAGTGACTCTGGAGAGCTTCTGACACCTGAAACACAGACACCATCAACACAGACACCATCAACACAGACACCATCAACAGACACCATCAACACAGACACCTGAAACACAGACACCATCAACACAGACACCATCAACACAGACACCATCAACACCGACACCTGAAACACACACACCATCAACACAGACACCTGAAACACAGACACCATCAACACAGACACCATCAACACAGACACCATCAACACAGACACCATCAACACAGACACCATCAACACAGACACCATCAACACAGACACCATCAACACAGACACCATCAACACAGACACCTGAAACACAGACACCATCAACACAGACACCTGAAACACAGACACCATCAACACAGACACCTGAAACACAGACACCATCAACACAGACACCATCAACACAGACACCTGAAACACACACACCTGAAACACACACACCATCAACACAGACACCATCAACACAGACACCTGAAACACACACACCTGAAACACAGACACCATCAACACAGACACCATCAACACAGACACCTGAAACACACACACCATCAACACAGACACCTGAAACACACACACCATCAACACAGACACCTGAAACACAGACACCATCAACACAGACACCATCAACACAGACACCTGAAACACACACACCATCAGCACAGACACCATCAGCACAGACACCTGAAACACACACACCTGAAACACACACACCATCAACACAGACACCATCAACACAGACACCTGAAACACAGACACCATCAACACAGACACCTGAAACACAGACACCATCAACACAGACACCATCACAGAGACAGCAGTGATGTTCTAAGCACCAGTGAGGACATGTCCTACGGAGACCAGAGAAACCAGATCTGAGTCCAAACCATGTCCACCGACTGAGACACGGTCAACAGATGCATGTAAGAGCGCAGGGAACAGCTGATGTTAAGACTGAGAAGGCTTCACAGTAAAGCAGGTGTCTCCTTTTTTACCCAGAGAGCTACTCTCCTGGGACGATAAAGGCAGAGAGCTACTCTCCTGGGACGATAAAGGCAGAGAGCTACTCTCCTGGGACGATAAAGGCAGAGAGCTACTCTCCTGGGACAATAAAGGCAGAGAGCTACTCTCCTGGGACGATAAAGGCAGAGAGCTACTCTCCTGGGACGATAAAGGCAGAGAGCTAGAGAGCTACTCTCCTGGGACGATGAAGGCAGAGAGCTACTCTCCTGGGACAAAGGCAGAGAGCTACTCTCCTGGGACGATAAAGGCAGAGAGCTAGAGAGCTACTCTCCTGGGACGATAAAGGCAGAGACCTACTCTCCTGGGATGATAAAGGCAGAGAGCTAGAGAGCTACTCTCCTGGGACGATAAAGGCAGAGACCTACTCTCCTGGGACGATAAAGGCAGAGAGCTACTCTCCTGGGACGGTAAAGGCAGAGAGCTAGAGAGCTACTCTCCTGGGACGATAAAGGCAGAGAGCTACTCTCCTGGGACGATAAAGGCAGAGAGCTACTCTCCTGGGACGATAAAGGCAGAGACCTACTCTCCTGGGACGATAAAGGCAGAGAGCTACTCTCCTGGGACAAAGGCAGAGAGCTACTCTCCTGGGACGATAAAGGCAGAGAGCTACTCTCCTGGGACAATAAAGGCAGAGAGCTACTCTCCTGGGACGATAAAGGCAGAGAGCTAGAGAGCTACTCTCCTGGGACGATAAAGGCAGAGACCTACTCTCCTGGGACGATAAAGGCAGAGAGCTACTCTCCTGGGACGATAAAGGCAGAGAGCTAGAGAGCTACTCTCCTGGGATGATAAAGGCAGAGAGCTACTCTCCTGGGACAATAAAGGCAGAGAGCTACTCTCCTGGGATGATAAAGGCAGAAAGCTACTCTCCTGGGACGATAAAGGCAGAGAGCTACTCTCCTGGGACGATAAAGGCAGAGAGCTACACTCCTGGGACGATAAAGGCAGAGAGCTACTCTCCTGGGACGATAAAGGCAGAGAGCTACTCTCCTGGGACGATAAAGGCAGAGAGCTACTTTCCTGGGACGATAAAGGCAGAGAGCTACTCTCCTGGGACGATAAAGGCAGAGAGCTACTCTCCTGGGACGATAAAGGCAGAGAGCTAGAGAGCTACTCTCCTGGGATGATAAAGGCAGAGAGCTACTCTCCTGGGACGATAAAGGCAGAGAGCTACTCTCCTGGGACGATAAAGGCAGAGAGCTACTCTCCTGGGACGATAAAGGCAGAGAGCTAGAGAGCTACTCTCCTGGGACGATAAAGGCAGAGAGCTACTCTCCTGGGACGATAAAGGCAGAGCGCTACTTTCCTGGGACGATAAAGGCAGAGAGCTACTCTCCTGGGACGATAAAGGCAGAGAGCTACTTTCCTGGGACGATAAAGGCAGAGAGCTACTCCTTTAAGCTGCCCTGGGAAAATATGGTGATATAACCACCTGTATGTGGAGTGTTCTTCCTGCCGGGGGACTACGGATGCAAATTAGCCTCAGGCTAACTCCGGTACAATTTATCAAATGGAGGCATTTATGTTCTAATTGTACACTGTCCCTTTTTAAATAAATAAATACATTTTTAAAAAAAAACCTGATATTGGGAACAGTTATTATTAAATCATTGCATAATTTGTTGCGAGTGAACAACGTAAGAACATTTACAATAATAATGAACAATAGAAACATTTTATTTTGTTCATTTCTAAATCCTTTGGTGAGCTACCTGGAAGGCGGTGGTGAGCTACTGGTGGCCTGCAGTAAAGTGTTAGTCAAAGTATCTGGACTTTAAAAGGTTTTAACTCAAAAACTAAAATGACTTTCATAGATTTGGAAAAAGGATTTCAACCTCAGATCAAAGAGAGATTGACACATGTTTTAAATGTTAAACCAGATCAGCCTCTGATTGGTTAATCCACAGATTAACAATAACACAACATGAGGTCAGGGCCTCACAGAGGTCACAGAGGTCACAGAGGTCACAGAGCTCACAGAGGTCACAGAGGTCCGGGTCTCACAGAGGTCACAGAGGTCCGGGCCTCACAGAGGTCACAGAGGTCAGGGCCTCACAGAGGTCACAGAGGTCAGGGCCTCACAGAGGTCACAGAGGTCAGGGCCTCACAGAGGTCACAGAGGTCACAGAGGTCACAGAGGTCACAGAGCTCACAGAGGTCACAGAGGTCACAGAGCTCACAGAGGTCACAGAGGTCCGGGCCTCACAGAGGTCACAGAGGTCACAGAGGTCCGGGCCTCACAGAGGTCACAGAGGTCACAGAGGTCCGGACCTCACAGAGGTCACAGAGGTCACAGAGGTCCGGGCCTCACAGAGGTCACAGAGGTCCGGACCTCACAGAGGTCACAGAGGTCACAGAGGTCAGGGCCTCACAGAGGTCACAGAGGTCCGGGCCTCACAGAGGTCACAGAGGTCAGGGCCTCACAGAGGTCACAGAGGTCCGGACCTCACAGAGGTCACAGAGGTCCGGGCCTCACAGAGGTCACAGAGGTCAGGGCCTCACAGAGGTCCGGGCCTCACAGAGGTCACAGAGGTCAGGGCCTCACAGAGGTCACAGAGGTCCGGGCCTCACAGAGGTCACAGAGGTCTGGGCCTCACAGAGGTCACAGAGGTCTGGGCCTCACAGAGGTCACAGAGGTCCGGGCCTCACAGAGGTCACAGAGGTCCGGGCCACACAGAGCTCACAGAGGTCCGGACCTCACAGAGGTCACAGAGGTCCGGGCCTCACAGAGGTCACAGAGGTCACAGAGGTCCGGGCCTCACAGAGGTCACAGAGGTCCGGGCCTCACAGAGGTCACAGAGGTCCGGGCCTCACAGAGGTCACAGAGGTCCGGGCCTCACAGAGGTCACAGAGGTCACAGAGGTCACAGAGCTCACAGAGGTCACAGAGGTCCGGGCCTCACAGAGCTCACAGAGGTCCGGGCCTCACAGAGGTCACAGAGGTCAGGGCCTCACAGAGGTCACAGAGGTCCGGGCCTCACAGAGGTCACAGAGGTCAGGGCCTCACAGAGGTCCGGGCCTCACAGAGGTCACAGAGGTCCGGGCCTCACAGAGCTCACAGAGGTCCGGGCCTCACAGAGGTCACAGAGGTCAGGGCCTCACAGAGGTCACAGAGGTCCGGGCCTCACAGAGGTCACAGAGGTCAGGGCCTCACAGAGGTCACAGAAGTCCGGGCCTCACAGAGGTCACAGAGGTCTGGGCCTCACAGAGGTCTGGGCCTCACAGAGGTCTGGGCCTCACAGAGGTCTGGGCCTCACAGAGGTCACAGAGGTCCGGGCCTCACAGAGGTCACAGAGGTCTGGGCCTCACAGAGGTCTGGGCCTCACAGAGGTCTGGGCCTCACAGAGGTCACAGAGGTCCGGGCCTCACAGAGGTCACAGAGGTCCGGGCCACACAGAGCTCACAGAGGTCCGGACCTCACAGAGGTCACAGAGGTCCGGGCCTCACAGAGGTTACAGAGGTCCGGGCCTCACAGAGGTCACAGAGGTCCGGGCCTCACAGAGGTCACAGAGGTCCGGACCTCACAGAGGTCACAGAGGTCCGGGCCTCACAGAGGTCACAGAGGTCCGGGCCTCACAGAGGTCACAGAGGTCCGGGCCTCACAGAGGTCCGGGCCACACAGAGCTCACAGAGGTCCGGGCCTCACAGAGGTCACAGAGGTCCGGGCCTCACAGAGGTCACAGAGGTCAGGGCCTCACAGAGGTCACAGAGGTCCGGGCCTCACAGAGGTCACAGAGGTCCGGGCCTCACAGAGGTCACAGAGGTCCGGGCCTCACAGAGGTCACAGAGGTCACAGAGGTCACAGAGGTCCGGGCCTCACAGAGGTCACAGAGGTCAGGGCCTCACAGAGGTCACAGAGGTCCGGGCCTCACAGAGGTCACAGAGGTCACAGAGGTCCGGGCCTCACAGAGGTCACAGAGGTCAGGGCCTCACAGAGGTCACAGAGGTCCGGGCCTCACAGAGGTCACAGAGGTCCGGGCCTCACAGAGGTCACAGAGGTCCGGGCCTCACAGAGGTCAGATCAGTGTAATGTGCCATAAACGTCAGACTCACTGTGTGTGCGGCTGACAGAGCGACAGAGTCCCGTTAGAGAAGCTCCCATTAGCACAGGTACCACACTCTGTGTCTGCGAAGGGACCACCTAAGGAAGAGGAGCACAGGTACTGACACAGGTACACACACAGGTACTGATACAGGTACACACACAGTTACTGATACAGGTACACACAGGTACTGACACAGGTACACACACAGGTACTGATACAGGTACACACAGGTACTGATACAGGTACACACACAGGTACTGACACAGGTACACACACAGGTACTGACACAGGTACACACACAGGTACTGACACAGGTACACACACAGGAACTGATACAGGTACACACACAGGTACTGACACAGGTACACACACAGGTACTGACACAGGTACACACACAGGTACTGACACAGGTACACACACAGGAACTGATACAGGTACACACACAGGTACTGACACAGGTACACACACAGGTACTGACACAGGTACACACACAGGTACTGACACAGGTACACACACAGGTACTGACACAGGTACACACACAGGTACTGACACAGGTACACACACAGGTACTGACACAGGTACACACACAGGTACTGATACAGGTACACACACAGGTACACACACAGGTACTGACACAGGTACACACACAGGTACTGATACAGGTACACACACAGGTACACACACAGGTACTGATACAGGTACACACACAGGTACTGCGACAGGTACACACACAGGTACACACACAGGTACTGATACAGGTACACACACATGTACACACACAGGTACTGACACAGGTACACACACAGGTACTGATACAGGTACACACACAGGTACACACACAGGTACTGATACAGGTACACACACAGGTACTGATACAGGTACACACACAGATACTGACACAGGTACACACACAGGTACTGATACAGGTACACACACAGATACTGACACAGGTACACACACAGTACTGATACAGGTACACACACAGATACTGACACAGGTACACACACAGTACTGATACAGGTACACACACAGACACACAGATACTGAGACAAGTACACACACAGGTACTGATACAAGTACATACACAGGTACTGACACAGGTACACACACAAGTATCTAAAGACACATTCAGCAGTATTTCATATCTTTAACAAAATTATGAGATTTATAGAATAGAAAATATATCTATGGATAAAGTGTGTGTCTGTGTGTGCGTTTGTGTGTCTGTGTTTGTGTGTCTGTGTGTGTGTGTCTGTGTGTGCGTGTGCGTGTCCCGTTCCATAACCTGAGATTCCACTCACGTCATGGGGACTGGTTTTACGTGGTGGGGCCCGAACACCGGACCCCACTGGTCCAAGCTTAATAATCAATGGGTAATGCTTTTCTAACGGTCCTTATGCAGTCTCTGTAAAAATATGGAAAGGACCCCTGGAGGTTTACTTTCCTGAAAAAAGTGTGTTATGTGTCGGAACCCTGGTGGTGGGTTGCGGGATATCAAGGAGGGGCACACTGGGGCAATTTCAGTCCAGCAGGCTGGAGCCAATCATGGAGCAGCACAACAGAGGCTGGAGCCAATCATGGAGCAGCACAACAGAGGCTGGAGCCAATCATGGAGCAGCACAACAGAGGCTGGAGCCAATCATGGAGCAGCACAACAGAGGCTGGTGCCAATCATGGAGCAGCACAACAGAGGCTGGAGCCAATCATGGAGCAGCACAACAGAGGAAGTCAGGTGTCAGGCTAGAAAAGGTGCAAGTGTGTGGTTCATTAGGCTGCAGCCAATCACAGAGCAGCACACTGAAGCGCACGCTTACAAACCACTGGTAAGTGCTGACTACAAGTCATGACTTCAAATTGTTATATAGAATTATTACAAATTATTTGTTGTTTGTGCAGCTTAGTCAAGAGTCCCTAATTGATGAAGTCGACTCAGATTCTGACGATTTAACTGTCAAGAAGAAACCTGTAAAAAAGTATGGAAAAAGAAAAATCAAAAACACTTTTCTTCAAGACTCGGAAAGTGACGAACCAAAGGCAAATAAGATTGTTATCATGCAGCTGCAAAAGAAGAAAAATGGGGGCAGAGTTTACAGCAAGAGACACTTCTGCCTCTACTGTTCAATGTCCTGCCACAAAATGTCCCGTCATTTGACTAGAAAACATGGAAATGAAAGTGACGTAGCCAGAGCATTGGCTCTACCTGTGAAATCTAAAGCACGTAAACTTCACTTTGATTTGATCAGGAATAGTGGAAACCGTGAGCACAATGTTGAGGTTTTAAAGGCCGGCATTGGAACTTTAGTCCCAGCTAAACAGCCAAATTCCCCAGTTAAATCCAGTGAGTTTTTGCACTGTATAGACTGTGGGGCATTGCTTAAGCGAAAGTCGCTGTGGAGGCATGTGGCCAGGTGCCGGCTTTCACAGAAAGATGCCCAGGCTAAACCAGGCTAAACCAGGTAGAAGTAGGGTCCAGTCCCTCTGCTCCCTAGCCCAGCCTGTACCGGAGGGCATCAGCAAAAAGCTGTGGTCTTTAATTTCGGCAATGCATCAGGATGAGGTCACGGGTGTTGTCAAAGCAGAAAAGGGGATTCTGAGACTCGGAGAGCACCTGTACTTAAAACACGGGCATGATAAGACTAAGCATGATTACATTAGGCAGAAAATGAGAGAAGTCGGTAGGTTAATTAACGAAGCAAAAACCGCAGGGAAACTGAAAACAATTAAGTATTTCTTTATTCCTTCCAACTTTAACCATGTGATTGATGCAGTCAGGTCTGTGGCTGGATATGATGAGGAAACAAATCAATACAAGACTCCATCCTTGGCCCTCAAACTCGGCCATAGCCTCAGAAAGCTAGCAGATATTCTTGAATGTGACTCAAAAATGGAGCATTGTGTTGATGAACTATTTATTAAAAACCTCCAACGAAGCCGGCTGCTTTTTGAGAAGAGGTGGGACGTCTGTGTTTCTTCTGCTGCCCTACAGACCCTCCGGCAAGCCAAGTGGAACACTCCGGACCTGCTCCCTCTGACTGAGGACGTTAGAGCCATGCATGCACATATTGAGGTATGTCGACCTGAATATGTGCAAACCCTAATAAGTGAGCCAACGTCTAAGCATTGGTCTAAACTGGCAGTTTTGACTCTTTGTGAGGTCATTATTTTCAATCGAAGAAGGGAAGGTGAGGTTTCAAAGATGCCACTGACAGCGTTTACCTTAAGAAGTAAGACTGGGATCCATTCTGACATTGCTCTGGGACTGTCCGAACTTGAGAAAAAGCAGTGTCAGCATTTTCAACGCATTGAAATTAAAGGGAAAAGAAGTGGGAAAGTGCCGGTTCTTTTGACTCCTGAAATGATTGCTTGGATGGAGGTGCTGGTGGAGAACAGAAGGGCCTGTTCCATCTCTGACCATAACCCATACTTCTTCTCCCGCCCGGGCGCAGACACCCACATCAGGGGATCAGACTCCCTACGGCAGGTAGCCAAAGAATGTGGTGCGGTGCATCCAGAGATGCTATCCTCAACCAAACTTAGAAAGCACATAGCTACTATGTCTACAGTTCTCAATATGAAAGAGAATGAAATGGACATACTAGCCAACTTCCTCGGCCATGACATTCGCATCCACAGGCAATATTACAGACTACCAGAGGGGACACTGGAGCTGGCCAAAATCAGCAAAGTGTCAATGGCCATGGAGCAGGGAAGAGTGACGGAATTCAAAGGAAAGAGCCTCGACCAGATACAAATTGAGCCTGAAGGTAATTCTTGATATTATTAAAATATGTATAATTTTTTTCCCCTAAAGGCCACTTGTATTTTTATTTTCTGTGCGACTGGGAGAGCAGTAGAGATCCTCTCACAAACGGACGGGCTAAAAGAAACTTCAAGCGGAGAACCTTCAACCATTCATCCAGATGCACCCCATGGTAGTGGCAGTGCCCCTTCTGGTAAGTGTACCAGGTGGGGGATTACAGCCAGGCTGCTTGGTCCTAACCCTGGGAGTGTATATTGCTAATATATTTTTATTTCTCTCCCTAGAACGTGTAAGAAAGCCATGGTCTGCATCTGAGGTGAAGGCTGTGGAGAAGACCATGACGCCTTTCATACAGACTGGAAAAGTCCCTGGAAAGTCTCACTGCCTGGCCTGCATTAATGCCTCACCAGATGACCTTAGACATCGGACATGGAGTGGCATTAAATTCTATGTCAAAAATAGAATCACTGCAATTCGAAAAAAAAATCAAAAAATAAATAAAATTCCTTTAAAAGAGTTGTTTGTTTTCTATTGACTGTTTTGTATTACTTAAAGTAGTCCCAGTAAAAAAGATTATGTCTATGGGTCCCATTCTGAACGGCCCTGTCAAAGGGACCCATCAGGTAACAATAACGTGTATGTGTGGGTGTGCAGAAATAAATGACTTCCCGAGAGGGCCCGGGTTAAAATTACGCTTTTATAGGGATGGGAGAACCACACTGTCTAACCGGCGACCCAGGGGGTACATACCACGGGTCTCCCCGCGAGAGAGCAAGTGAAAACCGGCCTTATAAAGAGCCCAGGCTGGCCTGACACCCAGGGCGCATTTCCCACGAGAAATAGCGTCAAAACCCGGGCTTAAATAGAGCCAAGGGCAGCTCCTGAAGTGGCAGGGTCCTCGGAGGTTTAATCCCCAAAAACGCGTCAAAAAATGGGCCTAAATGCACCACTGGCGAGCCTGAGACCCAGCGGGAGTGTGCGGAGGATTTAACCCCAAAAAAGTCCCTGAAATCCGGCTTGATATAGAGCAATGCAGGTCCCAGAACCGCGGAGACTGTGGAGGTTTTAGCCGATAACCCTCGGACCCGGGGACCCGCTCTTAAGCCCCCCCGCGTGCGGCCTAAAGGCCTCCACGAGCACTCGGCAAAACTCAGTGTGCCTGGGACTACGTGGGGATTTTGAAAATAATTCTAAGTGCCATAACACTTAGTCTTATTTTCAAGT